CAGTCAAAGGCTTTCGCATAGTCAATGAAGCAGAAGTAGATATTTTTCTGGAACTCTCTGGCTTTCTCCATAATCCAGCGCAAGTTAGCAATTTGGTCTCGAGTTCCTCTGCCTCTTCATATATTCATATATATATATATCATCTAGGAGTATATACTCCTAGATGATATATGAAAACGTACTGTATATAACATATATAAACACTTTGTGGATTCAACACAACAATAGATTCCAGGTTTATGTGGGCTCAAAGCCGGATGCTGTCTGGTGGGGCCCTCATTTATCAACAAGGGACAGTCCTTTGGGCTTACCCCTCCAAGGGTGCCTGGGAAGATACTGTACTATAAATTCCCACAGCACCACAAACCTCCTGACAAAATGTTTATCTGAGGAAGTTTTCTGTTTGTCATTTTATGTTAATTTTTTATTAGTTTTGTATGCTTATATTGCATTACTTGTATCCCACTCAGAGTAGTGGCCTTGCCAATAGATAGATAGATAGATAGATAGATAGATCGATAGATAGATAGATAGATAGATAGATAGATCGATAGATAGATAGATAGATAGATAGATAGATCGATAGATAGATAGATAGATAGATAGATAGATAGATAGATAGATAGATAGACAGACAGACAGACAGACAGGCAGGCAGGCAGGCAGGTAGGCAGGCAGGCAGATAGACAGACAGACGGTGACTCACGCCTGTCTTGACATACAGAGTCTGGGACAGTTTTCAGAATTTATGGTAACTGCTAAGGCCTGGGCAGCTACTCTAGGGGGCTGAGTGGTGAAATTCAGCTTGATATAGCAATTGCAATAAAGTGCTAAATATTATTTATATATAGGTGGGAGACTGTAATATTATACTTCTTTATATGTGGGCATGCAACTGTGATTGTTACCAGTCTTTTCTCTTCCCGCCCCCCCCCTTGCTGCCCTCAACAGCCTACAGGCAAACTCTTTATCTCACTTCCACACCTCATCACTTTGTCTCAACTACACTTCACCAAAAGAAAAATCCTTTTCTGTATACAGTTCATTGTTACTGGGCTCTCTGTAGCCCGCAAAGAGAAAGAGAGAGAATGAGAGATGGAGAGTTATTATTATTTCTTTTAGGCAAATGCGACAAAACGCTGTTGAAAGCCATTTCAAAATATATTCATGAGGAAGGACAAGAGCCCTTAGGTCAACCCACAGTAATGAGTTGAATGAGAAGACAGAGTTGAAACAAGTGCCAGCATAACGCAGCCCTCTCTAAAGAATCTTGTCACTAGCACAAAACAGGCGGGGACAATTTAGTATCTGAGCTTCAAGTACGGTTACCATGGTTTCTGAGGAGAGAGGAATGGACTGCCATGCAATTATATTCCTTCCAGTGACAAATAACAGGGACAGAGGAAATGGGATAATACAATCTTTAAGTCTCCTGTCAGTATGGTGAGAGGCAAGAGGCAGTGCTCACTTATCGTGCACACACCATAACAATACAGAGTGCAAACTGATGCCCTCCACACTAGCCATCCATCCATTTAGCTCATGGCCTTCTTTTGTCTCTCAGATGTGTTTTCTTTGAGTATGGAATTGATTCAAAGTTGCATGACACCAGTTCAGTTCATGCAGGGTCATTTGGTTTCTGCTGAAACCCCCCTCAAATGCATGTTTGAAGTCGAGAGTACAGAATCTTCTCTCTCTCTCCTTCCCTCTCTCTGTATGTTTATTAGTAGAGTAAGACTTGTTTTATGCCCTGATGACGCTTGAAGAAAGTAACTACGTTTGCAATAATGTCTGTGGCTGACACACTCTATTTATTCAACAGTTAACAACAAAATAGGCACCACAGAGGATTAAATCACACCAAGGAGATCTTATGTGAGTTATATGTGAGCCCACGGTTTGGATCTGAATTGTAGCAAAGATAGATCAGAGTACAAGAGAGGCCAAACAGGAATGTCATCAAGACTCTGACCTTGTTTTAAATTATTTTTGGAATGATACAATATCAAATGCCTACTGAAAATGAAAAGTATCAGGAAGAGAAGGGCACATAGACCATATCTCCTGTTAGCTTAGATCTTAGAGGCAGGAAAAAGACAAGGTTTTCCTGTACCATGCACAAGCAGTGTGTACTATGAAGAAGCATTTTTGATGGCTTACCTTGAAGGAAATTTCATACTGCTCCCCTCCCCAGATTTCTAAACCTGGATCGTAGCCACCGAGTTCCCAAAACCACTTTCTGTTAACAGCAAACAGGCCTCCAGCCATAACAGGGGATCTGAGGAAGGAACATAACAAAACTGTAAATGGCATGCATCGTCAGGGCCCAAGAAGTTGGTAAGAGTGGTGCAAAGGGTTCTTATGGCTCTTGACAATATGGCAGTTTTCAGCATAGTTTGTGCCTGGCATGGCTCTTGTAAGTGTAAACTTGGGGAATGAGTTTTGTATCCATGAAAAAAAAAGACATTTTACAAGCCTAAAGAGATGGGATATAAGGCATGTCTCTTCAGGCAAAACTGTCTCATGGTGAAAAATAGGTATAGCACTTAATGTGTGCATGGCCTACTATGAATAGAGTATAAATGGATGTTGATCTTCACTGGCTGATATCCTGTTGCTTAGTATAATCAGTTGCACTAGAGTAAGCCTGCTGCTTTTACCAAAGTCTGGGAGGCAGTGGAAGACAGGACGGCCTGGCGTGCTCTGGTCCGTGAGGTCACAAAGAGTCGGACACGACTAAACAACAACAAGCCTGCTGAATCAATGGAGATTTGGTGAGTCAATTCCTCTGTAAGCTCCATGGATTCAAATGGCTCTGTTCTAGTGCAAGTTATCACACTAAGCAACAGGGACTCAGCTACTGAAGGCCTTTCCTCTATAGAGATAAATAGCGGAGTGTTTTGTTGAATGGTTTTCTTTAGAATGTCTTCTATTTCTTTTTATTTCCAGTCAGAGTAAATATCCCCATCTCAGCCACAGTAATTTAATTATAGGGTTCCCTCACCTTGTCCCGGAGCTTAAAAAAAGCAAAATAAGACATCCGCCTTGTACAAGGATGACCTTGCAGCCTTCAAGACAGTCTGTAATTCCCATGCCTCACTATTGCTGAGTTTATAACTAACTATGTTGAACTGAAATAGTTGTATGCAACCTCCCTGTTTTCTCTTCCACCCTGTTGAATTTTAGATTACAAGCTCTCTGGGGTAGGACCCTTTTCTCTGGTACAGTGCAAAGCACCATGCACACTAAGGAGGAGGAATTCGAATCAATAAAAGAAAAAGGCCTTTATTCATATAAGAAATACATCCCAAGTTATTTTGGCAAGTATTTTTTTTGCCATCAAGCAATCCGTCTTTCTTTGTCCTCCTCCTCTTCTCTCCCCCACCCCCCGCAGTAATGCATCTCTATGGGAAATGGTGTTTCGCTTAACGATGTCTTCACATAGCGATGTTTTTTTGAACCAATTAAAATCGTTAAGCGAGGCACCACTGTACCTCCCAAGTTATTTTGACAAGTATTTTTTTTGCCATCAAGCAATCCGTCTTTCTTTGTCCTCCTCCTCTTCTCTCCCCCACCCCCCGCAGTAACATAGGTTTTTCTGTTTTGGACAGTTTGATCTCATTCAGTTTTCTTGTCAACCATTTTATTTTTGGATTTTAAAGAAAGTTTTATTGTAAATCATCCATAGAATCTTTGCTATTGAGTGGCAGATAAATAATTTGTTGAAATCCTATACCAAAATATATGAAAGTGTAGTTCTTGGTGCTTTCAGGTTATAACCTGCCTGCAACTGAATCTGTGGAAATTATAAAAAACTGTTTTAATCACAAACTAGTGTCTGATATTAGCAGACACCAGTTGGGCAATTAGACACCATGGATTTGGCTGCAGGCAGTTTCTCGAACAGCCCTTTAAGACAAGAAAAAGAAAATATTTTTAACAAATGTAAAAGTGATGCAGCACATCAGCAATGGTCTACTACAGCTTCTTTATTATGAAACAGCAGCTTCTTGTTTTTTGAACACTCGTGATACATGGCTTTATTAATATTATATTTGAAAGGTATTACAAACCTTTCCATTTGCTTACTGCAGAATAAAATGTGGCTTCTTAATTAATTCTTTGAAATATGGTGCTTATCTAGTGATTTTGGATGAAAAGGATAAAATACATGCCTTGACTATCTCTTTCATTAAAAAGACTCTTTTCATTTTGTTTTAAAAAGCTTTGATAGAGCAACTAAGTCCCACTTCCATCCTTAATCCTAGATAAGTGGATATAGGACTGCAGCCTCAGTAAGTCCATTTTTCCAAAAGACCGAAGAAAGAATTATTTATGTCCTTAGCCAGCCTGGTCTTTTTAAAATCAGGACAGTCAGGAAAAAAAGAGGTCAAGGTGTTGGATAATAAGGAACACACTGCCTCAGGGCATATACGTAGGACTAGATATAGAAAGTGTTGCTCATCTTAGTTCGTGGTTAGTTCAAATAAGTGCATGCATTTAAAATGTTACTTTAAAAATGCTAGGAGGAGCTGGCAAATCTCTTTCTTTGCATAACCAGCCAGTCCATTTCTTAGAATCAGGAGCCATATAGAGCTTAGAGAAAAGCCATCGATTGTATGATAGTAAGGAAGATTCTAACTCTGTGCATGTGCAGAGTTGAAGTTGAAATCTACAATGCAGATATGATAACTTCAGCTTATTTCATTAGCTTTATGTGAGAATGTTTTGTAATTTTAAAAAATCCAGGTGGTAAGATGTTTGTTTAAATACGCTTCTCACTTTCAAATCAGTGCAAGTGTGTATGAATCAGAGAGAGGGATATGGATGATGAAATGAACATTTTCAAAGTGTTTCAAATGTGCCACTGAGGGGAACAAAAGGTCGCTGAGACTTAGAGTGCCCTCACTTTGCAAGCATGGTTGATGAGAAGGTGATGGAAGTTGTTCCCTTCTCCCAGGGGCCACACAGCTGCCGTGGACTCCATGAGGCTGGTTCTGAGCTAGCCAGTCACAGAAAGACTTGACCGGCTGGGGAGGTGAAGCAGGCCTAAGCGACAATCCGCATGCCATCTTCTCACTCTTTGTTTAAGAACCAACTTAACTAACAAAATATGTAATGGCAATTTAATAATTGAAACAAACTCCTCCCTCAGCCTTCAAAAAAATAACAATTTCCCCATTTCTGATGATTAACACCAGTGAATAATTTTTTTAAACCTGTCCTTTAAAATTCTGCTTCTTTATTCTTTATTCTTTAATTAATTAATTAATTAATTAATTATGTATAAGGGGTTATCCTAAAATTTATAGCTTGTTTATAAGGTAGCTTCCTGTGTTCACAGGGAGATGATACAAAATACAGGAGACAGTAAAAATAGCTGCTATCAAGAATTTCTCCATACAAGGCCCTGAGCTTTGCTGACTCCACCTCATTTGAGAAAGACCTTGCCAATGGGCAGGTAACAGATTTTAAATTCCAAACAGAAAATCTGCATACCATAAAAGTAATTAAAAACTGGAAGCTGATTTATACTGAGAGAGAGCAGTGGTTCATCTAGCCCAGTGTTATCACATGAGGGTTGGAGGGATGATTCTTTTACAAACCTACCTTGAGGTGGTGGAGGTTGAACCTGAGACCTTCTGCACATAAAATATATACTCTGCACTGAACTACAGCCCATTCACAATACAAGCCTTGCTATTCCCTGCTGGTCTCCCATCCAGAGAAGTCAGATCTGCTTTGATTTGGATTCCTACATTGAGCAGGGGGTTGGATTTGATGGCCTTATAGGCCTCCTCCAACTCAATTATTCTATGATTTCTAGGCCTGACTCCACTTTATTCTTCAAATCAAACGGAATCTGCTATGTTCAGAATAGCATGGAGATCAACAGCACAGCTCATAATATTTAAGAGTCTCAGTCTCTTGTCTCCACTTTACACGGATCTCAGATATCTGAGATGGCAAAAATTTAACTATCAGGAGCAGTTCAAACATTATTTTCCCATTGTGTAGGTCCACAGAGAAGTACATATGGCATGTTTGTATGACAGATATGTCACTGAATGCAGATTCAGTTAAATAGTTCATGTTTGAGCAAGAGTGGAGATATCAGTTCTCAAGTGATGAATTCAGAAATGCAGCTGTCTATCCACATAGCCAGCACATACATACACATACCGAGAGCACAAAAATACAGCCATCCTGATTGGACTATATCAACAAATAGGGAGCAGGCCATTCATTCAGGACCAAACCATCTTCAAAATACTTTTCATAACAACAACTTGCAACAATACATTGTTCCTGAAAAATCTCTCTCTGCTACAGCAGAGATTGTAGTTAAAAGGAGAGCCTGAAAGTTGGTGGTGATAAAGGATGTAATAATACCACTATTCAGACAATGCTTGGGCTGTGACCCTGTCCACCCTGGCTCTACTATACCACTGCTGTCAAGTTTCAGAAGCACGGGGAAATGCCCACCTTAGCTTCTGAAGTGCAGTTCCAGTTAGTTAGATTATGTCCAAAGCTTCCATCAAAACAGCAGACAGTAAAAACTGCCATAATTACTAGCATCTTCTCTTCCTTGGCTGTTGGGCACAACACAATATCAGGCTAGAATCACAAAGGATTGACAAGGTGAAGCAGTCACGGAGCTCTTCAGAGATGAGAAAAGTTACTTTTTCCACGAGAGCTCCTAGAATCCCATAGCCATGCTGGTATTTAGACCCTCAAAGCTGTAGCCCCCAGATAACATTTCTAACTTTGAGGCATTGATTAAATCCAAAAATGAAATAAAATAAAATCTGGAACATCACACATTGGAAGAACTAACACTGAAATGTTCTGGCTAACCAGACAACCTTTAAGTGGTTTTTCATCCTTCTCACACCACCTTAAGATTCCGTTGCCCAATGCAAGCAAAGCCAGTCATTTTCTGGCCAGATAATCCATCTCTGTTGTGATCTGCACCTGGCTTCTAAACCACCACTTGCCAGGCTGGAAACCTTTAAGAAACAGTGACCATAAGCATAGTAAATCCTATCAATACCTTTAAGAAAATGAATTCAGAAAAGAAAGAGAGAGAAAAAAGATACTGTGTTTTAGGTGGATTAGTATCCAATTACAACAATATCTACCTTTCACTGCAGAGGAAAAGTGAATATATCAAAAGATATTGGACTTGCCCACGGGTTTCATTTTGCTTTGTTTAGGATTATAGGCGGCTCATTACAATTTCATGAGCAGTGCTTAAATATGCAAGAACAGTCTGAT